TTGTAAATAACACAGAAGTTGAATAAAATTATTCATTTTAGAGTTTATAACTCTTATGAGCCTTAGTGCTTTGTGGTGGCATCCCGTGTGAGAAATAGACGTGATCAAGAGCGTGATCAACTCTTGTGATATTTTCGAAGGTTGAGGTTCCTAGAGGCAGGTGCTCTAAAGGATCTTCGTCTTGATCATTATCCTATTGTTTACTTCATACCTTTCTTTATTTCTGTCATAAATTTCACCCCTTTTCTTTTGTTCTTGTGTTTTTGTTGTTTCAGGGTTCTGTCCCTAAACTAGCATGATTTTGCTTCTGCGTCCCCTATCAGTACGTATATAAGTGTGTATATATAGTAGTTTAAAATTAATCTCCAATTAATTGAAATGAACAGCCATTTTGATTAATTTGAATGATTCATTGCTGCCAACGAAATTAGATAGATAATTAATGGAGTACAAAAGTGATCTCCAAAACGATCAATATAGGATGGCAATAAGATGCATTATCAATAATTAATGGAGCTAGCTATAGCCTCCTCACTGATTGATTTGATTAATATAATTAACAACAACAATATTAACATTGATCAACAAGACAGCTGATTATGATTGCGTCACATGAACGTATGCCTAACCCCACTTATTATAGGACATTGCATATTTTTATTTTACTTTTCTTCTTATTAATTTAGAATGCTATCTATCATTCATATGAACGCACCATTTATTTATAATTCAATGGAAATTACAAGTTGTATTATACAAATTATTCTTTGACTCTTTGACCACTCCGAATATTATTCCTCCTTTTGACCTAACTCTTCATCAATATCATTTTAGAGTGAAAGAAACTACAATTATATTAACCAGTCGTTTAATTAGTCCCATTCAGTCGACCAATCCATCTCATACATATAAAACATTAAATTATACATTTAATCACGTCAAATTCCAATGGTTTCATTTGTATAAAAAATTATAGAGAATAATATAATTTTTAATCCCTAAAATTTCTCTTAATTATCAATTTAATCCTTAAATGTTGACTCAAATTTTCACACAATTCAATTCTTGTAACTCATTGAATTTAGTTTCCAACTTTTATCTAGTAAAAAAAATGTATAAAGACCGAGTTGTTTCAAGTTGATAAATTTGGGTTGTTTTGACTTAAAGTTTAGAGGACTGAATTGATATTTGAGTAATATTTTTTTTTTCAAAATTTTATTATTTGTAAGTCATTAACATGTATGACTCATCCGAAAGTTTAAGTAAATAACGGGTTTTCAATTGATCGAATCAATAGTGACGCTGCGCAGTTGGAAAAACAAAGCCCCTAAAGCCACGTGGCTTAAGAGTTCAATACAAAAACACAGTATTGACTTGCAGACACAATATATTCAATCCAACGTGGACCCGTTATGGGCAATGTAGATTAATTAATTGTGAGCTTTGAACAAAACCATTAATTAAATTAATGAACTTTGACTGAAGTATAAAGTATTGCAGTCTCTCTTATAATATTAGAAAACTTGAATTTGAATTGCGATCTCAACTATATTACCAAGTTAACAAAGAAAGGTAGAGTATTAAAATTCCACATCTAATGTGAACAAGAAACTCATTATCGTCTAGATCATATGCTTGATCCACACACACACGCAGAGGAAAAAACACTTAAAAAGCAAGTTGTTTGAATGCAATGCATAGGCGGAACAAATTCCAAAGAAGGTCCATCCACGATGCCCTACTTGAAAATAGAACAAGTCCACATAACTTTACAGCCTATATATAGATATAATAAAAAAGAATATATATATATATATAACTCAGAATCTGATTACTTATGAAGTGGTGGGATGCCCCTCCTCTGTTAACGCCATAAGCACATGGTGACTTACAAGTAATATGATTCGATGCGAGGTGGTCATGTTCTTAGAAATCATTGTTCTTCTGACTCACCCTTTATGTACTGTTCTTGAAATTGGGAATCGCTATTCCAGAAAGCACACAAACATATAGATAGATAGATAAACTTTTTGATGCTTCGTTGGATTTACGCACGCACACACATGTTTAAGAAAGGTACTATATATTAGAGAAATGCTGCTGTGTTTTGTTCCGATTCTTCACAATTCATTATGACAAATATATATATATATATATATATCTATGTATGTATATTTGTCATAACGAATTAATTATGAAGAGGGATTTTTAAAAATGATTGAGTATTAATTAATAAACAATAAGATAAAAATACATAGCGATATTGTCATTTTGTTTCTGAAGGGCGTTGCTGCGTGACCTTGAGTTTGAAACATGGATCTAACCACCTTGGAGATTAATGGAGGCTGCATGTGAGTTTCTGTATAAGTCACATGCCCAGCAATCACGACTTTTCTTCAGCGCTTGAATATATCCAAGATCATGTATATTCCTATATATGGCAACCATATATATATATATATATATTCTTTTTAGATTATCAACGATGATTTAACAATCTAAAGTTCCAATATTTACTAGCCACACGATATAAGATTAGTGATCATGATCACGATCACAAGCTCGTTCGTGAGCTTAATTTTGTCAAGTTCAACTTTGAAATCATATTGATCGCTCCCAGTACTGAAAAATTTCTAGGGTATCATTCCTGTACTGTTGCGAAACTTGTGGCAGTCCTTGAAGAATTTGAATTCTGTTTAGTAGAAAATTACTCTCATATCAAGGTTCAATGCAACTCTTTGAAAGCTATTCATCTTCTATAAAGTGAACATGTACCAAACCATCCTCTTGTATTATTAAACATATTACAATAATTGGGAACCTTCTTATACACACTTGACAGGTCTTCATTGATCATATTTTTAGACGAACAAATTGTTGCGCTAACTAGTTGGCTTATCAAGTCGATGGTGTCAACATTAGAATTTTCAACGATCCACTGCTAGAGTACAATGACTTTTTACGTTCAGGAGTATTTTGATTTAATTTGCTTGTAATAACTGCATGGTTTTAATGGTGGCCTTGTCAATTAACCCAAAAAAAAAAAAAAAGATATTGATCAATCTTATTGGCTATTTATCTTCACTAAGCCAATTAAAATAAGCTGCTCAATTAATCCATGTTGGCTTCAGTTGGACTCAGAAGTCACATGAGAATGTTCTGATTCTACTCTTGAGTCGAAAAGTTTGAAATTAATATGTCACGGCTTTTTCTTTAATACCAATATTAATATGTCATAACTTGAAATGGCATAATTAATATTGACCGTAACTTGGTAAGGTTCAAAAATAGACAAGTGCGAACAAGTAATTTCTATGAAAGGAATACTAACATTGACAATGGCATCTTCATGATTAGTTTTCTCTCCGAGCAATGATGTGGACTATCGGACTCAAATAAACATGATTCACGGGTTGAATTTAAATTACCACATCAATACTCACACAAATTCTCCATGCAAATGATTTCCTACACTTCAATTCAATCTATTACAGTATGTACACATTGGTGCGTGCTTCACGCGAGCTCTTTAAATGATGTTAATATATGCGTCACACTATCGTTATTTTTTTTTGGGGTTAAACACCGTTAGTTGTTATATTAATATTAATATTATCATGCATGCCTTTTTACCAATAAAGTCATAAACAAAAACAGATGGAATTGAGCCACTTGGGTTAACATGAGTGACAAAGATGTGCTGAGATGTATCAGGTAAAAGTTAAGAGTTCAAATTCTTCTAAAATAAACTTAAAAAAAAATTATATGGAATTAAACAAATAATTCTACATAATAATTAAGCAATTTTAAATTAATTATTTAGATTTTCTAATTTAAATTTCATCGTTTAACATGAAATTCTGTTGTTAAGGGACTAAAGTAATGGCTTATGGCTAATTAATAATAATAATTATAGCCCGCCCCTGGTTTTTTTTTTTTTTAAATTTGGCCCAAATAGTGAAGTAATTTTTTGTTTTGGTAGAGTAGGTGAGCATAGGTTGTGTCAAAGTGTCAATAAAGAGGTTTTTGTTTTTGACCAAAGTGTCAATAAAATTTAAGACCACGATACATTGCAGTGTGTGGTCCAGTTGGAGAAGCCCATGAACATGCCATGCCCAATACATGAATGGATTGGTCCAAAAAATTTCTTGTCTTTTTTTTATTTCAAGTTTGAGTCCTCTTTTTTTTTTTTTGCCAAAAAATAATCAATTTTCTATTAATCACAAAAAAAAAAAAAACAAATACCAACAGCTAAAGCCAACAAACACGCAAAAAAAACCTGGATACAATGTAACACATAGCTTACACCAATAATAATAATAATAATAATGATAATAATAATAATAAAGAAAAGAAACAATTTAGAAAAAGAAACCAAATAATATTCTAAATAAAAAAAAAGAAACATCAATCAATTCCTTTTTAATCTCGTGAGAATAATAATAAAAAACAAAAAAAAATATTACTATCTACTAGTAAATTAACAAGCAACAAAGAAGATGTAAATTCTAAAAACCATTCAAGAGGACATATTTTTTTGAAGCTTATCACTGCTAAAAGGTTAGCAACTTCTTAAATGATATATCTTTTTTTTTGTGAGTGATTTTTTATTATTAATTTATTGATGAAGTGAAAAGATATATTGTGGTTATTTGCTAGAAAAAATTGAATTTGCTTGTAAAATAAAATAAGTTTTTAATATGTGAATATTCAAGCAAGTTTAAATTTAAAAATTCCAAATAGTAGAGCCGTGCTTAAATATATTAACTTTTTATAGGTTTATATATTTTAAAACTGGCACAGTCAGCCAGGGGGAATTAAATCGGACTCTGATAAACCTGTCTGAATCACCGATTCAAATCATCTCTAATTAATCTTATTAAAATTTAATTAATATGCCTTGAACTCTCCTTTTATTTACAAGACGATTTTTAACATGCCTGGCCGTGTTCTTCTTCTGAGCCGTTCATTAAATCTAACGGTCAGAGTTAATTCTTTAAGATGCTCCAGGAAGATTGTGTAGCACCGGATCTTTTCTCCACGAGCTGCCGCGAAACCAACACGGAGGAGGGTTTATGCCTCAGACTGGAACTCGCCTTGCCACAGCCCACAGCAAGGGACGCAAGCTCACAGAATCAGGTCAACTCTCGTCCCTCTGATTTCTTCTTCTCAGTCCATGTTATCCTACTCACAGATGATGTTGCTTCGGCTTTGTTCAAGGCAATAAAGGAAAACCTTAAAAGATATTGTCTCATGTTTTCTTCATATATAGCGTTGGAACTACTGTCTTAATATGTTATGGGATATGCCCAACGTAATGGTTTTGTCATGAGTCTAAAACCTTACTCCACTGTTGTGCTCATGGTGTTTTGTGGCATTTTTATTGTCTCCTGTGATTTGATGCATTTGCAATTTAAAAAGCAACCTTGTTGCTGTTGCTGCTGTGGTAGGAAGCTATTATATGGGTGTGTGCACCCACACGCTGGGTTTACATTGTGCATATGTTCATGAAAATAATTTTTCAGAATGCTATCCATGAATTTGCGGGGTCTCTTTTAGTCAATTTTGGATGTTGGTCCCGTTCATGTAGGGATTCGATGGTCTTTAAGTGTTGTTATGTCATTTTTATTGGCCCCTTGACGAAATGAACGCTTAGTGGTGGCTTTTGCCTATTTGCTTGAGTTTGTTATGCCTCTGATTTTGTAAAGACAGCATCCTTTAATTTATATTGGTTTGAAAATGTGAGGAATAACTTTTGTAAATGTGGCTGAGATATGATTTCCTTGTTTGATCTTTTAACACTAACATGTTTATGCCTTTTTTTTTTTTTGCGTGTTTCAATGTTTTTCCAGCCAGGGCTATCTAATTTTTTCTGTACTTTTATTAAGTTGCTCTACCGGGTTGATCTTCTTGCTTTTCAGGATTATTGAGGACATGTTTGGGCTGAACTTTATATAGCTGTACTGGTAGCTCACCCTTGCTTTTGGAGCATTCTTTCCCTTGCAAACCTGTCATTTTTATTAAAGTGTCTTCAATTACATTTGGTGAGTTATCTATTTCTTTTGTGTTCGTATGCACAGTTTTTTTGTTGACATGTAAATTTTTTAGCCAGAATGATCAAATGTACAGGTTATATCATCTAAACTTCAAACGTTTCATGACTCTGATTCTAGCGGGACTTTGAGGTGCAACGGTTTTGAGTTCATGTTCCTGGCATGCTTGATAATACAAGTTCCATAAGTCAATCCGGTTTCATGAATAATGTTAACCAGCAACAGCTTCCCTTGCCAAACAGTAATCTCGGCATACAAACCCGCCATCCATTGGGTGCAGGGATCCTCCAAAACATGAATCCCTTTATGACCAATATGCAACCAATGATCAATCCACTTCCTTTCATGCATGCTGCTGATAATTTTCATCCATTGCAAAACAATCAGCTGGTTCCGCCTCATTTTACTTTGGTTGGTCAGCAGAATGGTGTTGGCAATGTGAATTGCAATCCACTGTTTCCTGTTCAGGGACCAAACATGGTGAATGGAGGTCAATTTAATTTGTCCCAGGTCCAGGGGCATATTTTAGCGCAGAATATTACAAGTTTGCTACAGCAGAATAATATGAATTTGCAAAATGGACAATTTTGTGCTCCGTTGCCCCTGCAAAATATGAATCAACAGTTACCTATGCAGATCCCCAACTCAGCTCAAGTTATTCCATATGGTATGTTTCCAGGTTCCCATTCTATGTGCAGCTTTCCAAACCAAGTGCCTCAGGCTATGGTTCCTCAAAATCCATTTTCTTCCGCAAATATGCAGTTAAATAGTGTGCCTGGAAACCAAGTGCCTCAGGCTATGGTTCCTCAAAATCCATTTTCTTCTGCAAGTCTGCCTGGAAACCAAGTGCCTCAGGCTATGGTTCCTCAAAATCCATTTTCTTCTGCAAGTCTGCCATTAAATCATGTGCCTGGAAACCAGGTTAGACCACAGGGTAACCAGAATGAGAAAAACATGTTCTCACCTTTTTCATCTCAGCAGTTAGAGGGTAACACTCGGGCAACACCTAATCCTAATAATTTGAAGCAACTACATGCAAAACACTCCCAACCTGCATTCACAAGTTCTCAGGTAGCGTGCTTGTCTCTATTAGATATAGTAATTACCACTAATATGTTCTGGTCATGTATTCTGTTTAACGGCATGCACTATAGTAAAATAGTGGTGGCTATTTTTTTTTAGTATGAATATTATTATTGCAGGCAAATCATAAGAACAATGTCAAAGCTAATGGTCCAAACCCTAATTGGAAAGGTTCACCAAGCAAAAACTTAAATGGTCCAAATCGAGGGAGGATTCAAGGAAGGTATGCAATTCTCTTTCATAGTTGCTCTCAATTATTCTGTTTACATATGATGATGTGCATTGTTTGACCTAATGAAAATCTACATATAATTGATGTAGATTTCAAAAGTCTAAGTTTCATGATATCAACGAAGGAAAGAAGAAATTTGGGGCTCCAAAAGAACATTGGCACAAAGGTTTGAACTTCTCTACCTTCTTAGAAAGGAAAATGCCTATTTTGCTTGGAGATAATTATTAATAGTCTGCTATGTTGCTATGCCACATGCATAGCCTTGCAATTTTCTTATAGCTCTGGTGCAGCTGTTGTAACACCCCTACATACCCTCTATTTTCCTGTAAATTACTTTATCAATGTATTGTTTGTTTTTCATCAAATTTAAATGATTATTCAATAGCAATAATGGAAGATAAATTTGAAATTTATAGTAAAAACTAAAGACAGTCACTTAAGCTTTGGTTTCATTTAGTATGCTGGATTTATGATTGGTTTATAGTCGATGTAGCGGAAGCTGTTGCACAATCTTTAACCTATTTATCTGAACAACCCTTCAGGTACAGATTAATGCTGGTCGCTCTAGCTAATGCCCACAATTTCCTAATAGCCTTTGTTCCACATGAACATCCTAACATTTTAGATCATCTGCCTTGGATCCAACAGTGGGACTTCAATACATGTCACTTCAACCATGATGCATAATGGATGATAGTGAGAACTTATAATTCCAAATAGATCATAACAATAGTTTGTAATAGTACACTATAATGAGGATTTATAATTCCTTGTAGATCATACCCAAATTGAGTTCTGGTAATCCCATCTAAAGAGCATGGGAAGAGGGCTAGAGGATTCTTCTAATTTGCTTTTGATTTGGTTGATGAATGAACAAAACTTCAAAAGAAGAGGAGATTCAATCAAGGGCTTGATAATGAATATCGTCATTTTGCATTTGATAAAGAAGAGGAATTGGTTTATAAATATTCAAATAAAGCTTAGGGTCAAATGTTGAACAGTGATGTAATTCATGATTTGAGTACTTGATGTTTTATTGATGATCATTTCCTTTTGATATTATGCCTCTTTTATTGTGAATTAGGTTTTCTATATAAAATCAGTCACCATCAATTGAGCTACATTTTCATCCAAGCATTTTGGAGCCCCTTCGTGCTCCAAGGGTGCTATATACCATAAACAATTATTAGACTAATACTTGCTGAACAAACAGGGTTCAACAATGAGAAGGCAGGAAATTCTGGTGCTAACTATAAGAAACAGAACAAGGAACTAAAAAGGTAGCTGCTGTTAGTCTTTCCGATTTATTTTCATCTGTGGAACCAGTCTGTTGCTTTAAAGATGCATTTTACTCATAAACTTTTGTGAATATATGCTAATTCAAATGACCTTATCCTTGTATAGATGATTACTGCTTCACTGAAATTGTAGCTTATTCTGAATATAGAGAAGGCCATTTGGTTTACTTAGACACTTCATTCTAACAAATATCATGGGATGGCCTTCTCTCAATGAAGCAGCTAGGTTGCATAGATACGGGTACGAGTATCCGATATGATACAGCATGATACGAGGATACGGGAAATTTTCAAAATTTTAAGATACGGGTACGGGGATATTTATAATATATATTTCAACATTTTATGATATAAGTATAGGTAGTTTGATTTTTAAACAAGAATTTCTAAAGTAATATAAGGATATTTATAGTAATTAACTAAAATATTAAGTGTTTTTTCAAGTTTTTAAGTGATAGAGTAAAAATTATTGAAAAAAATCATATTACAAATGTTAGAATATGGAATACGTATGCAGAAGTATCCTACAAGTATCGTATCGGATACGGGTACGTTTACTTTTTTGAAGTATCCGTGCTACATAGTGAAGCAGTGGCGCAAAATAATAGAAATGTTCTTTCTAGATATAATTAAAATATAATGTAATACGTACTTAAATATTGAAATTGTATATTGTGGTTACGTGAGGACAAAATCCTAATACTAGCTTGGATGTCCCTTTTCCAAAATGAGCACATGTTGTAATATGTGTGCACTTTGTATATTAGTTCATTGTCCAACACATTATGCCCACTAACCAATTGAATCTGTCCTAGAGTTTGAAGCTACAAATCAAGTCCTGAAATGGAATAAAATCTGTAAACGAAATAAACATTAGACCCCAAACTGGATTTTATCTTTTGGACTTCTATGTTGGAAGCTTTGGGAAACTAGGAATAGACATATTTTTGTGGGGAATCCTCCTGATCCAATTGAGCTTCTCCACCATGTTTATATTTTGGTCACGTGCATGACTAAAGCCAAGGACCTGATCGCTCTCTTGATACTGGTCCTCATTTTAGTAGCCTTAGCTCTTTCTTTGACGGTTTTGTTGTTGGCCTTTGGCTCTTCAGGGCTAGTCCCTGCCTGTAAATGTTGATTTTTTTTTAATGAAATTCACTTTTCACTCCAAACCAAAAAAAAAACCACTAGACCCCAGTCCTCGTTCAAATATCCAGTCAATCTGTAAGGTTTAGACCATTATTGATGTTGGTACTATATTTTAAGATTTCAGATGTCTTTATTTCCTTGATCACTTTCTCTACGGAACATGAAAAATATTTGTACTCTTTTCAGTTCAAATTTAAAGATTAGAAACTAAGTTTGCTTTCTCTCTAGATTTAACTTCTTCATTTTCTCTTTCAACAGCTTTCTGTAACCTTTTGTTTCTTAATGTATTGCATATCATTTTCTATTCACAATATCAGACTCTCAAACCTTGATTGTGTCTGATCGATGTTGGGTTGTTTCTCAAATGGTTAGATCTTTGTCAATGATATACACTGACCAAGAAATCCAACAGTGGCGTGAAGCAAGGAGGAAGAACTACCCTACCAAAGACAGCATTCAAAAGGTTGATTGAACTTCTTTTTTCATTTCAATTGTATGTTTCAAAAGCTGCCGCCTAATATCTGAAATGCTATCTGCAGAAGCAGGGGGAGCAACAGAATGACTTGAAGGTCATTGATAGGGAGGTTTTTCGAAGAGAGGTATATTGTTCTTTATAGTATGGGCAAATTATTGACGGTCTTTCATGTGTTTAGTTTCACATTCAGCTACTGAGTAAGCTAGAGGTTGTGATTTCACGAGTCCTTTCCAATTGACTTGCATAATTTTCCCAGATTAGCTCGGTTCCATGATTTGTATGAACAGAGAAATTTTTTTTTTCACAAAATCCAGAAGATAGTAATCTGAAGCATCAACTTTAGATATAAAATCAAAGTGACAACGGATACATCTCATCCAGGTTCCTTAGAATTATTTAAACTCTTTGGTTATATGATACATATTTGTTTTTGACAGCTCAAGGAGATTTTAGCAAAGCAAGCTGAGTTAGGGGTTGAAGTTGCTGACATACCAGCTTACTATTTGAAGGATTCTTCAACACAAGGTCTTAACCGTGGAGAGAGAGGGAATTCCACTAACAAAAGGAAATTCAATAACAAGTTTGACAAAAGAACTGACAGGAAACATAGGCATTCCAAGAAGCAGAAGTGTGCAGACAAAGATTTGGGAAAGGGCCCTTCTTTGGAAAAGAGAAGTCCAACTTTGTTGCAAAAACTCTTGAGTGCAGATATAAAGAGGGATAAGAGCCATTTATTTCAGGCTTTTAGGTTCATGGTGATGAATTCCTATTTCAAAGATTGGCCTCATAAGCCGCTAAGATATCCATCTGTTACGGTCAAAGAAAATGGTTCTGAAGATGGCGATGAAGGCCTTGTAAACGTGATGAATGGCAACAATGGTGATGTTTTTGAAGATGGAGATTGTGATGATAATGAAAATGACTCTATACAGCAAGTCACTCCGCAAGAGGACTGTCATGATGGAGAAACTGAAGAATCTGAAGAGGAAGGTGAAATTGTGGATTAAAATCCATGTTGCTATCTTTTCTTGCTAGCATTGAAGATTTTGACATTAAGCCCTGTTATATATATGTTCATCTATTTTAGTAGCTTTCAATATCTTAAGCTTAAACATTTCTTTATTTTTGGCCAGGAGGGGCATGAACAGCTCGTTGTCTACATTTGGAATTTTAAGATTGGCGCAATTGAGTATTGATTTTTTTTTTTTTAAAAAAAAAAAGCAGCATGGTGATAGCTGAGTTAGAATTTAACTATTTAAGACTAACCAGCGGCTAAAATGAATAAATGATATAGGTCAATCATTGGCAGCCTCTTTGTGAATGTTGAGAAAACTGAAACCAGTCATTCAACCAGCTAAAACATTTAAACTGTGGTTGGATCATTGTCGATCAAGTTTTGAATAAGTTAACGTTTTAAATAAAAAAAGATATGCTTATAATAAAACCAAAATGGTCATCTATTATGATAAAAGTAAATGTTTAAATCCAAATAAAAGTAACATACAATTTACAAGGGTGCAATATTAATCAGCATTTCATAGTTTCTGAAGCGTATATACTTATTTTATAACATGTACATATACTTTTTACCATTGACCATTTCTGTTTTTCCCCCTTTTTAGGTACTTACTAGGCATAGATATACATAAATATCTTAGGAACATTGATTAATTTTCTTTTAAAAATTATAAAATTGATCTTCTAATTTTGACCTGTTCTATATTGAGTTGACTAATCTTAATCCGTTTCTCACCCAATTTTTCCATTAGGTCCAATTCTCTCAATTATTTATCCTTGCTAATTTATTTTGCTATCCAGGTGTTAGTGTTCCTTAATCCTTCTTGCAGCCGATGGTGCCATTCCATGCGTAAATACGCTTTGGCCTTCGGACACAAATGGAATTCTAGGCATAAATTAAGAAGATTTTGGAATTTTTTTAAAATAAATATGCACATAAACTGAAGCGTTGGAAGATTATGCAGTCTCTATAAAATTAAAAAAATGGCCAAAAATTAATCAAAAGAGGGGGGAAAATGTGCCGTCCAGTTCCCTCAAGAAAAATACATTTCCCTGAGCCGATGATATATAGTATTAACTGATCTATATTACACGGGCCGGTTGATCCATGCCCACCCAAAACTTCAGAACTGTGACTTCTAAAAAGGAACCATGGAAAATTAGTATGGTGCCAATGAATGAGAATAGACGGTACGAAATTCTCAGATAATATATTCAAGATGCATCACTTAGCCTTTCTTTTAGTCTTTGATCCTTGCTTCTTCTGCTTCTTATACTGTTTATAAAGCTCGAGAGATAGCGTAGTCCTATCCAGCTCCCTTCTCAACCTTTCATTCTCCTTAATGTCGTGTAGAAGCATAAAATGGGAACCCAGTTTCTTCCTCAACTCATCCTCATCAAATGAACTTGAATCTGCTCTAGATCCAATTGAAGGGCATGTGGTAGCTCCACTTGCTCGTTTCCTCTTGCTATTTAGCTTTACATTGACACTTTGTGGGGAAACAAGTTCTTGTTCAAGGGTCATGTTCTTGAAAGCTTGCAGAGGAGAAATATTGGAGAGAAAAACTTGGTTGTGAGCAGTACTCATGGTTGAAATGCCAGAGGCCATTGTGGATATAGCCGGATGATAATGCTTGGACAGAAGATTGAGGTCCCATAGTACCGAGGCAAGAGCACCGCTTAAACTGGGGTCTCTGGAATTTGGTTGATATTTCTGCATAGCATACAACCAAGAGATGGAGACGCAGAAATAGTCAATAAAAGTATAAGCATAATAAACTGACAGGATTGTGATGGCCCTGGCTAAAAAGGTTTTAAAATCGAATTCACAACATCTCGAATTTCAACATGGATAGCCTTTGCCCATGCAATCTGTATCCAGTTTCTTCCAGAAATAATATATGAATGAAAAATAATTATAGAATAACTTGATGTTGTGGTAGAAAACCCTGAAGGAATCCCCTCCTCCTTCCCCCTTGTGTTGGTTTCCTGCTTGTCACAATCATTTATAAATCAAGAAATCTCATGCTTGTCAGATTTTTTGACATACCCCCCTTTTTTCATAATTTTGTTATGACAAAAGTCAGACGGAAATAGTATGCATAATTTTGTTATTATAATGCAACAGTCAACAGTAAGATACAGCCAGCATCTAGAGTCTAGAAACAAGGGAGGTCCCTATTATTTAGAAGTTACATAACTGCACTACAACTTCCTATTCATAACTCATTAGTCTTCCATTTCTCCGAGAATGTGTTTGCTACGAATATCTTTATACAACAACAACAACAACAAGCCTTTATCCCACTAAGTGGGGTCGGCTACATGGATTACAAGACGTCGTTGTGCTCTATCATTTATCACTACGAATATCTTTATATGCCAACAAATAACAGATAAAATTAAGAAGCAAGCTTACTGGAATCATGCCCGCAATAGAGCCTCCTCCAGTGTCATTTTCTAACAGATTTCTGCACTTCACGTTCTTCTGAAGGAGATGCTTCACAGTGACTAAGGCTGAAAGAATGCAAAAGGATAACCAGATATTACACCACCACCTTTTTTTTATTTCCCTTTTCTAAAGTTTTAGCGTGTCTGTGCCCGTTCATGTGCTTCATGGGGTACAAGAATACCAAAACATACCAGCCATGGACTCTGGAGATCCAAAACACAGAGAAATTGCAGTCAAACGTTTTATAAATGCAGCAGTCTTTTGCATGTCATGTTGCTTATCTTCACACAACATTATTTTCAACGCTTCTGCTAGCACCACTCCTTGATCTCTGTTTCATATAAAAGAAAAGAAACCCAGAAAAATTTAAACACCAAACGAAGAAGAATAATTTGTTAATGCTGGAAACAGAGGTTGGCTGGTCCAAATGCTACTTTACGTCACCATGATTCCTTTGGAGGCACATAAATAAAGTATGTACTATCATGCATAATATACACAATAAAGTTTTAGTCAATCTGCCAAGGATATTACATTACACAATTATGGATTCTTCTTTTACATGCCAGTTAACATGTAGCCAAATATGTATGTATGTATGTATGTGTATGCCAACAGACACACGCATGCATACTCACACACGAGTAACTTAATATCAATGCATGCTCACTGACAGAAACTCTATCCTGCATGTCCTAACAATATCAAGAAATAGGAAAATATTAACACCATCATAGCGATAAATATTGGGAGAATGGCTGTAGGGCAAACCTTCCTGGCTTGTATTCAAGTAAAAGATTGTAAAGATGGACAAAGAAGTCTTGTAAATCAACATTCAAGGCATCAAGATTGTTCCTCATCACTTTAAAAGCAACAATGCAGCATTGGAGCCGCTCAGATACAGTCAAACATTTAGGAACCTTCTCGGAAGTGTTGCTTGAGTTGCTACTACCAGAAGCAAGCTTTTTCAGATGGATCATGAGATCATCCATGAAATCAAGGTCAATCAGATGCGAAAATTTTCCTAGTCCTTTAAGACACGGAGCAAGCAATGGGTGGGATACAACTGCATCAGATGATGTCCCAGAATTTGCTTCAGGTCTAAACAGAAAAAGAGCAGAGATTATCAACAAAGATTCACATCCATGAGATATTAAAGCTTCAATGAAACACAAAATAATCGTGATATATGAGCAAACCTGATAACTGTGGACTCCATTGTGTGCTTTAAAACACGAAAATATGCCTCAAACACTGCAGATAGTGTTTCAGATTGCATTTGTCTCTGCTCCATAACATCCGGTGTAAAAGATGCAGCCTTGTAATCAGCTTCAACCTACAAAAACCATTACTCTACAATATAAATCAAGGATATGCTTAGCAAAAGCAATCAAAACAAAGTGATTCATAAGGATGAAAAATACCTCCTCTTTCATCCTTGACATCAATTCCTGCCTACTTTTCTTTCTTTCATTCTGTTGCAATTGATTTGAAGCATCCATATTTCTTTTCTTATTTTTCTTGTTTTTTACATTACGATCATCATCTGTCTTTTTAGACTTCCTTAGATCCTCATCAAATGAAAGAGAAAGGAAAACCTGGAGAAGTATCCAGAGTAATGAGCATACAGATCAAGATCAAAAGGATATCAAACAACTTATCGTTGAGGTAAAACTCCCTGAAAATGGGTTTAACCCAATACAATTTTTATGTCACTATATAGAATGCAATAGCAAGTTGATCAGCAAAACAAAATCAACCAAGCTAGAGAACAACCCAAAAAGAAAAAAAGAAAAAAAGAAAAAAGGAATGGGTGGGAACTCTTACCTCAATGGATTCAGGGTGTAGTTGGCAATTATGAGCTTTAACTAGATCAGCAATCAACCGAACAGCCTCTACAGTAGCTTCACCACCATGTTTACCCTCATTTGCAAATAGTGACTTAATTGTAGAACAGCAGAGCTTTCTGTTAATCATGCAAATGAAATTTAATTAGCCACAGAAATAGCAATATACAATGCAAACAAACCTAGAAACAGAAAACAAACTACAAAAAATGAGTTCATGCATTCTCTAAGCAAGAAAATTCATGAAATCCAAGAGAAATGATTTCCTACAACATTTAGGGGTCAATTCTATTGTATAGAATGGCTAGGAACTGAAACAGTGAGGGCCCATAAAAAATTGCAAATGAAACGTAATTTTTCACAAGACTTAATATCTAACTTTTTACTTGAGTTTTTCTTCTACTTTATCAAATTAAACTTAAATTGTTAATTATATATTTGAACTATTTTTGTCTATGCAAGTATAATGTATAACTACTGCCAATAGAAACACACATTGAACATATAAACGTCTTCAATGATTACAGTTTTATTGGATAGATCTAGGCCTTTACTAAACCCCCCAATACTGCTTTCATCTCAAGGAGTTAGCCGTGAAACGAACACAACATAATTATTCTTCTTCTTATGACCTATATCAATGACCTGAAGTTATAGTTATTCGTGCCATGTTTCCTAGAGAAGGTTTCCTTCTCCAAGGCCAGCAGTCTTCTACCCTGTAAACCTTTTATAAATAATTAAATTAAACAGTATAAAACCATAGAGACAAATAACATAGATGGAACAAATAGCTCCTTTCAACTGCTAGGCTAATTAGCATTAAGGCAAAAAAATCTAGAGACAAATGATCCTAGACTTTTGGTTATGAAGTTTCACCT